GGTCCTAGAAATGGGAAGGGTATAAAAACAAAAACTATATAGAATGCATTTCTTATCTACAAAAAAAGACCATTCTGGGTGAAGGAACTCGATGAGAATGATTGAGCTTTTAGAGATAATAGGGAACTAGGGAGTACTAAACCACAGACTTGGCCCCATTTTTACTTATCCAAGGCCAACATAAGAAATTCAATGGGAAATGAATTCAGCTGGGGCTCTTTGAGAAATGAGCAAAATGTATTGCAAACATAAGTGAGAAAGGCCAGCAGTCATCAGTTCTGTGCTCATCAAATCCAGGTTATGTGCAGTCCTTTTCCTCAATACGTATGGTAGTTTTATGGATGTGGTACAGCTGGTCTCCAGAAATGCCCCTCTGCCAGTGCATGAGCCACACACCCTGTATTCCTGTCTTTGTACAGTCCTTCTCTGAATCTGGGTTGAGCCTATGATTCACCTGTGGCAGGTCTAACACGGTGGAAGTAATGCCATGTGACTTTCAGGGTTAGGTGAGAAGCTTTGCAGCTCCTTAGGGTTTCTTGGAATACTTGTTCTTGGGATGCTACCTCTTGGAACCCAGATAACAAGCTGTGAGAAACTCAAACCACACACACAGGTCACATGTTTTCCTGTGGTCACCATCCCCATCTGAGCTACCAGCTGACGGCCATCGCTACTGTCAGCCACGTGAGTGAGCCATCTTGGATGTCCAGCTAAGATGGTCAGCCAAGGCTTGAATAAGCCCTCACAGGGTGGCCCCAGCAGCTATCTGACTGTTACCCTATCAGAGTCCCCAAGTAAAACTGCCCAGCTGAGCTCAATAAATCCACGGAACCATAAGATAATATGTTGCTGTTTGAACCTGTTAAGTTTTGGGAGAGTTTGTTACACAGAAGTTGATAACTGGTATAAAATATAATTATGTCTTAAATATAAGCAAGGTTTTAATTTTTTTCATGGTTGTTACTTGACATTTTGAAGTCTCAGTTTTTTACTTTTGACATGCCATAAACTTCATCCTTTCAAATAGCTTCGTGGAATAATACTGCTTTCATTAGTTTTTAAATCATAAACTTACAGATGAAATTCTTAACTGTATTGTCAACCCTTTTGTAGTCTGGTGAAGCCTATGGAAGTCTTTTATTTTTAAATGAATAATAGGAAATTTGTAGAATCACAAAAGAAACTAATCATAAAAGAGCACAGTTCTTGAAATATTTTAAAAACCAAATCTGTGGTGTAGCAATATGTGCACATCTATTAATACATTAAATAATACTAATGGTGGGCACAATTCTCATAATTTTGAAGTACCAATAAACATAATTTTCTAGTATTTTGTAACATCTTAGTGTGAACATTTTTAAACATGCAGCAAAGTTGATCCCGCAAAGAATACCAGAATACTCACTGCCTAGATCCTCCCATTGGCATGACTTACACTTGTTTTATCATGTTATCTATCTATCTAATCATCCATCGTCAAACAGTCTTAATGTTTTTATACATTTTCCATGTAACTTATTAGCAAATTGCAATTCTCCCTAATAATTCAGTGTGTATAATTAGCTGGAAGATGGACATAAGATTGGAATTGTGGTAGATGTGAAGCTGTTGTAATCAGATGGGAAAATGTCTGTGATTTCTATTGCTGACATTACTAGGTACTGCTAATACCGCTGTGGCTTGTCGCTAGTATTCATAGTTTAAAGCAATGCTAATTTTCAGTCAGAAGTTACTGAAAATAAAGGTGAAAATTTGTTCACATTCAAGTTCATGACCCTACCTATTAATAGACCCCATGGGGTCCAAGATCTCCGAGTTAAGGAGACCTAATAAATAAAATATGCAGACAGTCCATGAATAAGTTAAAAGTCAAGGAAAATACATAAAACTAACATAGGCATACTTTAAAAATCAAGTCAGCTGGACGTGGTGGCTCATGCTTGTAATCTCAGCACTTTGGGAGGCCAAGGTGGGTGGATCAGTAGAGGTCAGGAATTCAAGACTGGACTGGCCAAGATGGTGAAACCCTGTCTCTACTAAAAATAAAAAAATTAACCAGGCGTGGTGGTGTGTGGCTGTAATCCCAGCTACTCAGGAGGCTGAGGCATGAGAATTGTTTAAATCTGGGAGGCAGAGGTTGCAGTGAGCTGAGATTACATCATTGCACTCCAGCCTGGCCAGCAGAGCAAGACTTTGTCTCAAAAAAAAAAAAAAAAAAAAAAACAGTCAAGTCACAAATACGAATTCTGACGTTTTTACCTTTATCATTTTACAGTGGAATTAATGAAAGGAGCTTAGAATACTCCAAAGAGTCACAGAAAAGGAGAAAGGAAAGTTAGTGATTTGATATCTGTATTAGCTAAGGCTGCTATAACAAAAGGACCAAAAAAATGGAGTGGTTTAAGGCAACAGAAATTCACTCTCTCACAGTTCTGGAGCCTGGAAATCCAAAAACAAGCCAGGCACGGTGGCTGACACCTGTAATCCCAGCACTTTGGGAGGTCAGGGCAGATCACCTGAGCCCAGGAGTTTACGAATAGCCTAGGAGACATAGCAAAACTCCGTTCCCATAAAAAATATAAAAATCAGCTGGTCGTGGTGGCATGCCCTTGTTGTCTCAGCTGCTTGAGGGGCTGAGGTAGGAGGATTGCTTGAGCCCAAGAGGTTGAGCCTACAGTCAGCTAAGATCATGCCACTGTACTCCAGCCTGGGTGACAGAGTGAGACCCTATCTCAAAAAAGAAAAAGAAAAGAAAGAAAGAAAATGCAGAGGTGTCGATAGGGCCATGCTGTTGCTGACAGTTGTAGGGGAGGATTCTCCCTTGCTTGTTCCAGCTTCTGGTGTTTGCTGACAATCCTGGCAATCCTCAGCTCCCAGAGGCATCACTCCAATCACGTGCTGTCTTCTCTCTATCTTTACATCATCCTCCCTCTGTACAGGTCTATCTCTGTGTCAAGTTTCCTCTCTTATAAGGACACCAGTCGTATTGGATTAAGGCCCACCCTAGTGACCTCATTTGAACCCGATTATCTCTGTAAAGACCTTAATTTCTAAATCAGGCCACATTCTGAGGTCCTAAGGCCTGGAATTTCAACACAGCTTTGTGTGGGGTCGACATCAGAACATCATGATTCAGAGGAATACAAATTCAGGTGTACTTTGAAACTAAATATTTCTACAGTTAAATTTGTCCAGCGTTACCTGGTCTGGTCTTACATTCATACAACTCTCTTGTAACACACTGTGTTTGTGCTGGATATCCCTTTATGATTTTTTTTTTTTTTTTTTTGAGATGGACTTTCGCTCTTGTTACCGAGGCTGGAGTGCAATGGCGCGATCTCGGCTCACTGCAACCTTCGCCTCCTGGGTTCAGGCAATTCTCAGCCTCCTGAGTAGCTGGGATTACAGGCACACGCCACCATGCCCAGCTTAAATTTTTTTTTGTATTTTTAGCAGAGATGGGGTTTCACCATGTTGACCAGGATGGTCTTGATCTCTTGACCTCGTGATCCACCTGCCTCGGCCTCCCAAAGTGCTGGGATTACAGGCATGAGCCACTGCGCCTGGCCCCCTTTATGATTTTTAAGAACTCTGAAATGTAAAAAGTACAAATAAGTTATCCCTTGCATTCATTAGTCAAAGCAAATTGCTTTATTCATTTTTAGCAGTATTGCCGAAAATTTTAACTGAAAATTATATTCAAAATACTGTTTTAAATTTCATAATGGAACTGTAACCAATTAGTCAACAAGAGTTATTGAACAACCATGAGTACCGTATTCCCTGAGGAGAAAAAACCTAGTCTTTAGACACCTATAGCAAAATGCAGCAAATCAGATTGACATGCACACACATGGATACCCAGTAGACTCAGAATCAAGGCACTCTTTTATTTAAAAAATTCTTTTCTCAGCCAGGCATGGTGCCTCACACTTGTAAACCCAGCATTTTGGGAGGCCGAGGTGGACAGATCACTTCAGGTTAGGAGTTTGAGACCAGCCTGGTCAACACGGTGAAACCCCGTCTCTGCTAAAAATACAAAAATTAGCCAGTCGTGGCAGCGCACATCTGTAGTCCCAGCTACTGAGGAAGTTGAGGTGGGAGAATCGCTTGAACCCAGAAGGCGGAGGTTACAGTGAGCTAAGATCATACCACTGCACTCCAGCCTGGGCAACAGAGCAAGACTCCGTCTCAAAATAAATAGGTAAATAAAAGTAAGATACAAAATTTTGTCTCCACTTTTGTGTCTATTTTAATTTTTTCTTCTGATTTTGAACTGATTAAAGATTTCATTAATATCTGCAACTTTAGTTGTGATAACGGGTTTTACTTTTGTTTTTTTGGGGGGTTTTTTTTGTTTTTTTGTTTTTTTTTGAAACAGAGTCTTCCTCTGTTGCCCAGGCTGGAGTGCAGTGGCACAATCTTGGGTCACTGCAACCTCCACCTCCCGGGTTCAAGTGAGTCTCCTGCCTCAGCTTCCTGAGTAGCTGGGATTACAGGTGTACACCACCACACCCAGCTGATTTTTGTATCTTTAGCACAGATGGGGGTTTCACCATGTTGCTCAGACAGGTCTCGAACTCCTGACCTCATGATCCACCCACCTCGGCCTCCCAAAGTGCTGGGATTACAGGAGTGAGCCACCATACCCGGCCCAAGTTTTATGCTGGTTAATACTGCCTCTACCCTCTCCGCAAAAAAAAAAAAAAAAAGATACTAAAAGTCATTCAAAATTAGTCTCATGAAGTTGTCTTCATTTTGAGTAAGATTTTTAAAAAATGTAAAATACCGCAAAGAACATTTTCAGCAAATGGGAGCTATTATAATTGACTGTACTTACTGGGTGGATAGCACAGAGTCATCAGTGGCTTAAGCCCGTGCTAACAGCACGGATACTCATGTGGTTAGCTGTGTGACCCCCTTAAGTTGTTTTATTCTTTATAAAATTTTACTCCAAAATATATTTTCTGAGGAGTCCTGAAACCTTATTATTTTTAAAATAAGTAGGAACCATAATTCCAAAGAATTCTTAGACACATAAGGGCAACATATGGTCCTTTAAAAATATATAGATGAGCAATTCTTTTAGAGTAGGTTGAAAGGGACTGAAAGAAAAAAATCCAGATGCCATTTGATTTCAGTGAGAGAGGAGTCTAAAAAGCATTGCTTTGACTTAATAGATCTTTTCGGAGAGGTATATGACATCTCTATGTCTTCATTTCCTTCTCTATAAAGTTTTGTGGGTGTTTTGTTTTTGCTTTTGTCGTTGTTGTGTGTTTGTTTGTTTTTGCCTCAGCCTCCTGAGGAGCTGAGACTATAGGTGCATGCCAGCATGCCTGGCTAATTTTTGTAATTTTAGTAGAGATGGGGTTTCACTGTGTTGGCCAAGATGGTCTTGAACCCCTGACCTCAAGTAATCCACCTGCCTTGGCCTCCCGAAATGCTGGGGTTATAGGCATGAGCCGGTGAGCCTGATCTTCCTTCTTTTCTTTAAAATGTTAATACCTATTTCTGTGATTGCTTGAGACTGGGCATATGTAAATTTCTTTGTGCATATAATAGAAACTCAGGAAATATGACACCCCGTTTCCTCCCCACTCTGTTACCTTCCATCATCTCAATCTCTTGATCCAAGTGACCATCCTGCTAGGGAATAAAAATCTCAATGAAATAAAATAATAACATGTATTTCTTCTGTAGTAATTGACCTTTCGATCTAAAAGAACATAAGAATTTGGAAGAAAAAGTAAAAACTGAAATAGATGGTTCCTTCCACTTCTATTTGTTTCTGAGCTGCTTCTAGTGGCCAAATGTTTTCTTGGTAGCATATTCCCTCCAGCAGAACCTTCCAGAATGCTTCAGTCCAGTGAAGAGAAGGACAGCAGGCTTTCTAATCACACGGTGTTGCTTGCTGAGGGGGAAGGCAGAGGTCTGCCTGTATAATCCGATTTCATCAACTCACACTAATCACTACTGATAGTAGCAAAATTTAGCCTGGATCTGCGCTGTTAATCTAGATTGACAGGAGGTAAAAGGAGAGGAACGCAAGGGCGCAGGAACAAAGGGCGGAGCATCAGCACTGATTTCTAGCCTTGATCTTCCATCTGGGGCTTCTAATTTGCTCCCCTTTGGGGCTTCTATTTTTCTTACCTTATGCACAAATGTCCCCGGTTGTTAGGATACCAGCCTTTCACAGAGCGGTTTCATCAACAACAGGTGCACAGTGAGCTTCTGGGGCTGCAGGGAGAGCAATAACCTACGTGCTGAGGCTGCGCAGAAGGTACTTACAGGTATTCATTGTACCTGAGACTATGTATTATTTATTGAAACTGAGCCCTGAATTATCTTTATCCTCTGAGCAGCACTAGTGCCTCCTAAAATGGATGCCAACAGCAGCTAATCTACAAGGGCTCCTACCTGCTCCTTGCTCTCATTATTTTTCTTAAGAGTAGTTGTAAGTGGTAGCTACCAAGCTTCTGATTAGAGCTGGGAGAGTCTTTGGGAATTGTAATTGAACAGCTGGGAGAGGAACACCTCTGTGATTTTGGACATTTCCACGTGGACTCAAGTTTTAATTTTTTTAAGGGACTACTCCACTTTGGATATTGTGGCTCTACAGAAGATAGCATGGTGCAGGTTCTGCCTCTATAGACTGTGTGATTACAGTAGCAGTCTGTGATGTGCGTGTTCACATGCTTCATGCACACAAGGAAGATGGGCTACGGGAAGGTTACTTTCGCTGTTACTTATGATACCTTTGTCTGGCAAACCAGAGAACTTTTTGCATTTGGGTAACAAAGACATTTGGAATATACTCCATTGGATTTTCCATGCTGGTGAAGCTATTGTGGACGGCTTCATTACTGTATGCTGCCATGCCAAAATCACCTAAGGGCAAAAATGTCTCCTGGGTAAGTAGATGATGATTTAATATCTCTTAAAAATATATTTTTTAAGCTGAAAAACATGCTTTAAGAACATCTAGTTGTTTCATGTTGTAAGAGTATCTGGAAAACCTTCAGAAAGCACTTGTCTTAGAAAAGCATATAAATATCTTTGTAAGTGTTAGAAATCCTTCGGCAAAGTCATGGTGGCGTGCTTGCTAAAATATGAACTAGAAGTCATGTAAACACTCAAGTTTGTTTTGTCATTTTTAGGCTTCTGGGTTTGCTTCACCTTTGCATACACATACAGAGTTCAAAATGCATTCATACAAGGTCAGGGTTATTATTTTATATGTTTTCACCTGCAAAACTTCTGGTTCAATAAAGATAGTCTAGATTTCTTTTTGGGGGGTAAGTCGAATGTTAAGGGTGGAATATGCAGTTTTCATTATTCAATGATATTGTTGGGATGTTCCTTTTTTTTTTTCTTGGAAACAAGATAGCATAGCTTTTTCTCAATTTTACATATCTAAGTAATTTCCCTAAATCAATGATAGACATGTGTAGTTAAAGTTTAACATTTCAGTAATAACAATAGCATGTTAATCCTAATCAAATGACTCCTCAATATTGTTTCAAGGTGGCTGGGCACGGTGGCTCATGCCTGTCATCCTAGCACTTTGGGAGGCCAGGGTAGGCAGATCACGAGGTCAGGTGTTCGAGACCAGCCTGGCAAATATGGTGAAACTCCATTCTACTAAAAATACAAAAATTAGCCAGGTTTGGTGGCAGGCACCTGTAGTCTCAGCTACTCGGGAGGCTGAGGCAGAAGAATCGCTTGAACCCAGAAGACGGAAGTTGTAGTGAGCCAAGATCATGCTGCTGTACTCCAGCCTGGGCAACAGAGAGAGACTACGTCTCAAAAAAGAAAAAAAAAATACATATACATATATGTTTTTTGTTTCAGTGCAATTTCCTACCAAAAACACAAAACATACCAGATTGAACTCAGAATAATGAGAACAATCTGTAAACTCTTAAGAAACAGGGCTTTAGTTTCCGGCTATCATGTTAAGTGAGCTTGATACATTAAAATGGATTCCTTTCTATTCTCTACACAAAGTTTTGTGTCTAAACACCAAAGTTTTGGCCATCACTAGCCCATGCAACCTCAACCATACTCATAATAGAATTTATTATTAGATTATGATTATGTCTTCCTTAAGATATTATAGGAAAAATAAATAATTCCATCTTTTGGGTCAAGAAATAACTTTACTACCTTAATTTGAAATTCACCAATTAGGTTATTCTTATTTTATATGAAGTAGCACAGTATTTGTCTAAAAATGTTTGTTGGTTTTTTTTTTCTGTTATAGACAGTTATTCTTTAACAGTACTTAATTAAAAGAGCTTTTTTGAAATACAACTCTCAAAATTATTTCAGAAAAATTGACAAACTTTTTGAAGTTAATTCATTTTTAAAAATAGATACATTCTGTCTTGATATTATTGTTACTGTCGATTCTTCACTTCTGCTTAGTAAAACCAAGAGATATGATTCAGGGACCTTTGGCCTAACTGGTCAGTTTCTTTCCCTCCCTATACGGGTGGGTCCAAGGGCTAGTTCTGATGCCCAGATGGGAGTTTGCTACTTTCTGCTAGCACTCAAATATTAAAGGAGTAGTTTCAAAAGTACATCCCTTCCTTCATCTGATTAATCCTCCTAAAAGATTAATTCTCTCAAAGTAGTGCTTGCCTAATGGCGTGTTTCTACCACGAAAGCAAAAACTTGAAACATTAAGCTCAGACTGCCCTTGGGTTAGGTTTACTTCATACTCAATTATGCTAATATTTTTTGAAAAGTTCAAGTTGTTGGCTAAAAATTTAGAAGCACTTATTTCAAGAGAGTCAGAGTAGTTTTGTTTCCTTGGGTTAAACATTTCACTGTGTGTCCCACACTCTTAGGAAATGCCTCAGTAGCGGGGTTTGTTGAAAGTCAAGTTTTCAGTTTCATAACTGCCACGTGACAGGGATACAGCCCTTCGGTTGGTGTGTGCTGGCTATGCAGTGATCCAGTCATTCATGTTAATGACTATGATAAAATTCCTTATTTTGACTTTAAGGCACTGAGAGAGACTTTGAAATGTTGATCATTGCTTCGATTTTCACCAGTCGTGGTCATTTTAGGTATTAATGACATTTCTCTTCATATTTTGGCTATGGGAAGTGACATGTATCTGGTCTTCCTGCTTTTGCAATCATTGGTCACTTTCCATTTGGACATTTACTTAGACTTGAGTTCAGGAGGGAATAAAATGATTCCTCTTGTCTCTTTCACCACATAGTAAACTTCCCAATGATGAGAGAAGGTCATGTCACTCTTCCTCCCTGGCTCCTCCAGCATGTTTCCGAGACCTGCTTCACTCCATGTGGTACACATAACACATCTTGCGGAACACCACAAGCCCCAGAGTGGATCGCTGCCTTCTTTCTCCTGTTCACGCCTGGTCAGCATGGTATCCAGGCAACTGGTTAAACTGTGCTTGACAGTGTCCCTGTCTGTGCAGTGGAAAAGATGATAGCAACCACCGTTTTCTCTGAGATGTGCTGAAGATGATCATATCAGCCTGATACCAGGGATGGACAGTCATTCAACAAATATCCATTGAGTGCCCCTTCTGTGATACTCTAGTTACCGAGGTCACAGCAGTGAAAACGATCCTTGAAAATCCCCAACGTCATAGAGCTTACCTTCTATGGAAGGGAGAAAGAAAAAAGCAAATACATAAGTAGTGCATCAGATGGTGAGTAAAATAGAACAGGGAAGGGGTTAGGAAGTGCCAGGAGTTGAGAGGTGGTATTGCCAATTGGTCTGTCAAACTTATTTGAGCAGAGACTGGAAGAAGGTAGAGAGTCAGCCATGGGGAAATGTGGGACTCAAGCATTCTCCGCAAAGGAAAAATGCTCAGATGCAAAGGCAGGAGCCTGCCCGTAAGTGAGGAATGGCAGGAAGGCTAATATGGCCAAAGCGTAGTGGCATTCTTTCAGTTTCCTATGTCTCTTGTATGTATTTACATACCATGAGTAGTTCTTTCACGGGGGATTTCAAGACAGGCCTCAATCCTGCTGTTCAAATCTCCAGAGAATTGTGACATGTGGGAACCTCATACGAAGGTGCACACCAGCACCTGCCAGTGAAGGTTACGGGTGACAGAAAAGAGAGGACAGAGCATAGCAGGAGCCCATCTTATCACCCCAGCTCATTCAAGCTTCATCACTAGCCCTCAAGAGTTGAGAATTTTGTTATTTTTATTTTTTACTGATATTGCGGCAGTTTTACAAATGAGCTTTATGGTGTTTTTAGAATAAGAGAAGTTAAAAGAAATTTAATATTAAAGATAGTTTTAAATGGGGGGATTTAAGGATACAGATGAATGGGACATAGCACTTCCGATAATAATGCATGCTTTTTGTTAGAAAATAGTACACAATTCCGAACTTTATTGTGGAATCTCCATTTATTATTTGACTATAAAAACCCTTCCTGGCTGGGCACGGTGGCTCACACCTGTAATCCCAGCACTTTGGGAGGTCAAGGCAGGCAGATCGCAAGGTGAGGAGTTCAAGACCAGTCTGGCTAATGTAGTGAAACCCCATCACTACTAAAAACACAAAAAAAATTAGCCAGGTGTGGTAGTGTGTGCCTGTAATCCGAGCTTCTTGGGAGGCTGAGGCAGGAGAATCACATGAACCCGGGAGGCGGAGGTTGCAGTGAGCCGAGATCGCACCATTGTGCTCTAGCCCAGGCAACAGTACAAGGCTATCTCAGAAAAAATTTTTTAATTATTCCTGAAATCTGTTTTTTAAGACATGATCCTGCTGCCACTTGTTCATGACAACTGCATGGACCCCTTACGGCTGTAGCCCTGACTTTATACCACACTAACTGGTTGTGTTGAAAAGTCACTTTGCCTTGGCAACACAAAAATGACAGACTCCGCTTAGGATCCTGACACTGGGCAAGCTCCCTTGCTGTTCTTTTAATTCTCAAGAGCTGAAATCAATCACACTGAACCTCCAGCATTCCAAATCCATGGTCTTACATATAATGATGATTACCTGTGTATGGTATATTTCCTTGGTTGTTCTTAATTTTTTTTATTGTGTACCATAAGACGTTAATACCATTTATTTATTAATGTTTATTTATTTATTTTGAGATGGAGTCTCACTCTGTTGCCCAGGCTGGAGTGCAGTGGCATGATCTTGGCTCACTGCAACCTCTGCCTCCCAGATTCAAGCGATTCTCCTGCCTCAGCCTCCTGAGTAGCTGGGATTACAGGTGCCTGCCACTACACACAGCTAATTTTTTGTATTTTTAGTAGAGATGGGGTTTCGCCATGTTGGCCAGGCTGGTCTCAAACTCCTGACCTTGTGATTTGCCTGCATCGGCCTCCCAAAGTGCTGGGATTACAAGCATGAGCCACCGCACCTGGCCTCTAATACCATTTATTTAAGAAAATGAGGGGAAACTGGAAAGGCCATAAATGAGTGACTTTCATTCACATAGCAAAGAATGCTAGAGATTAAATAAGAACTCAGAACTTTGGGGTTGGCTTTCTATTTCTTGATTGAGATACTCCTAGCAAATACATTAAGTGTGTGCATGTTATTATAAAATTAGATGTTACTAGAAATTGGCTAAAAGAGTAATGTGACAATTAAACGTACTTCATAGATGATGAGACATTGACTCATTTTTGAAGTGGAAAAGGAAAGGGGACTTCCAGGGACAGGAGGCCATCACCTTTCCTTGGTCATTGAAAATTATTTTCACATGGAAGTCTCTCTCAAGTTGTCAGAAATCACGTGTGTGTGTGTGTGTGTGTGTGTGTGTGTGTGTTTACCTTCTGTGATCACTGTACCTGTCTTGATGAATTTTTTCCAAACCAAATGGCTTTAAGTTATGACTTTGTCAGAGCTCTATTCTTGTGTCTTTTGCCTCGTTTGATATGCAAGTTTCC